TCAGCAGGATTACCACGTGAGTTGGTGTGTTGACTTGGTCTAATTTGAAGTATACTTGATCAATTGGGCTCTTAAGGATATGACAAACTGAAAAATCTATTTCTTGGTTTTGGTTGTTCTATGTTTACCTTTTAGTTCATATTTAAGAACCAATTAGGGACAGCTATGCAGGCATTCTTAACTGAGTAGTATGGTTTGGAAACACAGATGTATTTTATCTCTTTGTTAGTTGAGGCACCGGGAAGTAAGACATAAATGTTATGTTATTGAAAACATGGTTATAATTCCTAGAAAGCAGTGTGAAGCAGCTGACCTGCAAATGCTATACTGGTACAGTGCATAGTGGGATGGTCTTATTTAGAATTTTTATATATAGATTAAATAATTTAATTTATACCATATACATATAAATGCTATTGTTTTTTTTTTAAAATACCCAATTTTCATCACATATTCATAATTAATGATATAAGATCATAGGTTTTAATAAAATATACAAGTAAATATAGTAAAATTCAAGGAAACAAACAAAATTTAAAGGCCAATTCATATTTAAAATTTCAAAAAAATATATCTTGAACATTCAATGAAGAGTGGGGGTTGGTATTGCACAGAGAAAGGAACAGAGGAGGCTGAGGTTTTAGAGTTTAGAATGGTTTGAAAATAGATAAAAGAATAGAAGGCGAGTGTTGCCAGAAATATTGCTGAGGTGAGTGATTGTTAGTTGAACAGTGTGTCCCACAGTAGAGTAGATAAAAGCTTGGGAAACTTCCAATTTGGGATTTTTTTTTTAAATTCTTAGAAGGGGAGGGAAATCTAAACTTTGCCCCTAACTCCTCCGTCTCCTGCCCATTGATGCTGTTTTGAAGGGCAAATGGGTTTTTTAAAAAAAAAGCCTCACACTAGTGATGCTACTAGGAAAATGCACTACTATTAAAAAATTTGTAGTTGTCCATGGCTTCTCCACACTGCTACACCGGCATAGCTGACTATTGATAACTATGATTGAGAATTAATCTTTTCCTTCAAAAAAAAAAATGTTGATTTGATGCAATGAGTCTCAATTAAACTATTAAGGAAAAAAATAGCCCAATTTACAGATGAAAAACGGATTATGATCTGATCATTTGAATAATTGAATGTTTGAAAGGAATTCTATTTCCTTCTCTGGGTATATTTGTTTAAAAATGTAAACATTTTTCTTTATCATATACTTTTATCTGAGTTGCTTACTATTTTATATATTTTCTGTATTTTCTTTTCTTTCTTTGTGTATTTCAGTTGGATGTGAAGACAGCTAAACGATCTATTCTGAATGGTAAGCATTCGGTTCACAATTCCCCTATTGCTTCCCCACTTTTTGTAAATTACCATGTGGGATGTTCATGGAATTTTACTATTCTAATTTTTTTTGGGTCATAATAAATTTTCATTTGATATTTTTATTTCAATTTAGGTTTCCATAAAACTGATGAGTCTCTTCTTCAAGAAAGTGCTGAAGGTACAGTTTGAATGCTTTAAATATGTTGATATGCTGCTATACAAATGCTAAATATAGTGTAAACTTTGTTTATACAAGAAGATAAATCAAGTTTTATTTCCATTTCAAAATTTACTGGTTTCAAGTCCATCTAATTTCCTTTTTTGTGCTTTGACAACAATGTATCACAAAGCTGAAGGTTATTTGCGCATCTCTTTATTCTGATTTTAGCATTGCAGATCTCAATTCTTGTACTAATAATCATAATCATGAGAGGTATTTTGACGTACTTTATATCTTGCTGAGGTTTAATTACTATTTCCAGGGGGATGGCAGGATGGTGCTACAGCTGTATGTGTTTGGGTATTGGGATCAAAAGTAAGTTTCCTGTTATTTTTTTTCCATTTTCCATACTAGTACTTTCTGCTTTTTTACAGGAGTTATAAGGTGGTCAAGTAGTTTAGGGGGAGGGGCATAAGGGCTGGAGTGGTAATGTGGTGTCTGTTCCCCTCAACTAACATAGCATACTAATTAATAACATTTGCCTATAAAAAAACTGCTTCTTTCCAATGCTACATGAATCATGTTTTAGGCCATATGCTAACTACAGATAAACATTATAGGTAGTATAATTACGGGTATTTGTTTGAGCAATCTTGCAGAAAAAAAAGGGAAAATCAATGTACTGTTCCGTATTCTTGATGTTTTTATCCTTTTAATGAGTTTAGCTCTTGGTTTGTTTCAGTCTTCTTGCAAGTCAGTGGTAACTTGTTTTGGCCTTTTCTGTTTGTTGAATACTAGGTTTTTGTTGCAAATATAGGAGATGCTAAAGCAGTATTAGCTCGGTCAACTGATGGATCCCGAAATCACTCAGATGGTGTGCAGGTGCTGAAGGCCATTGTTTTGACTAGAGAACACAAACCTATCTTCCCACTGGAGCGTGCACGCATTCAGAAGGTGTGAAAAGTCTCAATGATGATTGATTAGATCACCAGAATTATTTGAGAATACTTGATGATTAGAACCTGCCTCCCCTGCTGTACATCAAAGTTGCCATTGCCACCTCTTTTTATAGAGCATTTAATTGCACTCTCTTTCTATGCAACATACTTTTTCACTCTCATTATTGAGTAAAATGGAACATATTGATATTTAGTTAAGCACTTGTATTATGATTAGTTGTTTGAACCATCACTTTTTGTTGCTAACAGATTGAGTTAATTTTTGATTGGGATTATTTAGGGGATGATAATCACTTTGTTTTTTCTTCTTAAAGCTCTCTCAAGATGGGAATAAAAGTGCACTTATATTTCTTAAAAATAAACTGATCCAGACATGACTCAAATTACTCGGGACCTGTTCTAACTAGTAAGGTGCCAGGTTCAGGCTAGATTTAAAATGAATTATTAAGCAACCCAACCTTGATCCACTGTTATTAATTGTCTCAGAGAGATATGGTTTATTTTATATATATTGCTCTCTTGAAATTGTGCTTTGAATAACTGTCAGAAGTGATTGAATTATTCATTCTTTGTGATTTGTTTTAGTTTAGAATCAATGATTTGGTAGTGAACCTGTCTCCAGATATATGTGATTCATTTTCAAATATGATATTTTCTACTTACAGTCAGGTGGTTTTGTGAGCCAAGATGGACGGTTGCAAGGGCGTCTAGAAGTTTCTAGGGCATTTGGAGATCGCCAGTTCAAAAAGGTTTACTCTCATTTGTTGAAAAGGCTACTGTTATTTTTGTTACTTATCGAAAGATAATTTCTTTATAGCATCAACTAATCCTCAAGAAGAGCATTTATGGGCCTAAAAATGTTTGCAGGTGGGTGTTGTTGCTACCCCAGATCTATATTCATTTGACCTTTCTGATAGAGAGCATTTCATCATTCTTGGCTGTGATGGCTTGTGGGGGGTATGTCTCTTTGTATGGCTAGACATTGTTTACCCATTTTACTGGTTTGAATTTTGTGTTCTAAGATGAACATGGCATTTTGGGTATGTATCAGGTGTTTGGTCCCAGTGATGCTGTTGATTTTGTTCAGAAGTTATTGAATGTAAGAGTTTGTTCTATCCTTTTCTATCCTGCAACTAGAACAAATAAGTGTACAATTGTTATGAAACCATAAATGAAGAATGAGATAGAAAGGAAAGGGATGAATCTATTATTGCTGAATGAAATCTGAACAGAAAAGGAGAAAAATCTCCTTTGAAGGGTTTCCCTTTCCCCTTTTACAAAGTGGAAGCCTTTTTTACAATTGAGCTACCTGCATAATTCCAAGACTTATGTCCTCACTCTAACTAATTGTTCTAACTATTGGTTCTCTAATTAAATTGTAAATAACTATTGGTATCTGGGGCATCTTAACCTCTGTTAAAAATTCTAATGCGTTTTTGGTTCCATTTAAATGCATTGCTTTAAATTTAATGTCACTATAAAGGTGTTTTGTCATAGAATTTGGTCTTAGGACCTAATTGAACTCCCAAATAACCAGCTTGTAAGGTGAGGACTATCCAAGCTTTATACGCTCTATTTTAGCCATATCCTCAATCAATTAAATTACCACCCTTGAGGCTGCAATTAAGGCAACCCCCCAAAGAGGCCACAACTAAGATGGGTTAGGACTTAGGAGTGACTGCAACTAAGGCGGGGCTTTCCAACATTTTTGGTTTAACAATTTACATGTCCCCCTATGATAACTGAAAGGTAGGGGTGGTGTAAGGTGGTACTTTCTTGTAATTATTGGTTAAATCGTTTCTGTGGACGTGATTAGTGATTTGGCAACTGCCACCCTTATAGTTTGCATTGCAATACTCATACCTTTTGATATCATATTTATTTATCAAATTAATAAAGTTATCGCCATTCTTTCTTAAAAGCTGGTTAAAAATGTCCATTAAATTATCCGTGAGTAAAGGAGTTCGAATCTAGATAAGTTGATTACGAACTTTGGCGATTGGCAAAATGTCTTAATTTTCCATTCTATGAAGGGTTCCTTTTCTAGATTTTCTTTTCATTTCTTATTTTTTTTTCTCCCTTTACTGAGGGAGGATGCTGTCTTACATGAGAACATATTGAATTGAACCTTTGTAGGAGGGGCTACCTGTTACCACTGTGAGCCGCCGTCTTGTAAAGGAAGCGGTTCGTGAGCGTCGCTGTAAAGATAACTGTACTGCCATTGTCATTGTATTCAAGCACAAGTGATCCCTTAGGCACCATCTCCATGTGTCACATACCAGCTGGGGTATCAATAGAAATGCAATGTTTCCAGATGCTGCTTTCAAAATGTACAATATGTGAATGTGAATTATTTCTCACTATAAACAACTGGTGGTGTCACTATACGCACACCTAGTTTTTTACACTTACGAAACCGATTTTTTTTTTATTGTAATACATGTTGAAAGGTAGTGGAGGTCAATTTGTTTTACGACATCTAACTTTTATTTCAGTCCATTAGTTATTACAGCTGCAGCTATGCTACCCCTCATGTTCATTGGACCTACTTTACATGTTGTGGGGGTAATGCAAGTAAGCAAAGACCTTAGAGCATCTACAATGGGAGTTGCTATTTTAAATGGGTCCTATTGTACCACATCACTTATAAGCAACTCATATTATATTTTTACAATTTTTATTCCAATGAGAATTGTTTATAAGCACTTCAACTTTTCTACAATTTATACTACACTTTTTAATATCTCAAACTATACTTTATGATAAATTAATTATAATAATTTATGTACAGAAAGGGAAAAGGAAAGTGAAGAAAAAGCAAACAAAAAGTACAATAGAAGCAGGCAAGCACCCGTTGTTTCTGCAAGACACGGACCTAAAATTTTTTTTCTTCTTGTGCCACGCAAGCGTACTTCAACGGGCGTTCCTTGTTGGAGACGGTGCTTGTGAATAAGAAACTCGTTAAGCACCGTGCGTTGGAGGTGCTCTTAGATACAACCTAGGTGAGAATGCAGTATCAACTTTTTGTCAGAGACAAAAAAAAAGTAACATGGCAATCCCATCAGTATTAATTTTAAAACTTTGAATATGGAGAGGGTATGCACAATTTTGTTTTGTTTTTTTTTTTTGCAAAATCGAATGTGATTTGGACACAATGTTAATATGTTGTTTTGTTAATTGAAAATTGATATTGATTAGCACTCATTTAGTCGCTTGTTAATTCATTTCTGAAACTTATTTACACCGATAAATCTGTAAAAAGTTCAAGTAATTGCTGCGAGTAGTTTCTAATTTGAACAGTTTTTCAATATAATAGAACTACTTGGCTCTACCAAGTACCAACCCGTTTCACCACCGTTGCGCATAAGAACACTAGAATTGAATGTTGAAAAGTAACAAATGTCAACCTTTGCCATCTATTAAAGGGGTTGGCAATTGGAAAATGTGGATGCCAAAATAGAGTAGGACAAGGCTCATGGATGGTGAGTTGGTTTTAAAGAAAGGATTGGCATTTGGAAGAGACTCGAGAGATATAACAATCATAATGCAATGATATATTAAAGTAAGCAATCAGGACAAATTATGAACTTTGCTACCAACAAGCCACATATTAATTAGTGATTCTATATTTTAGTAAACAAATATTGTTGCCTCTGCTATGCGGTGCAGCAGATGCATAATGTATCATCCACACGCAGCCTCTTAATCCCGAATATTCTCACACTTCAATTACATCTTTGTTGTCATTTCTTTTATCTTTTTTGCTCGACACTTGTATGAACCAATCTACCTTAGGTTCATGAATAAGTACATCAAGGCAATAATGTTCCTCCCATGATCTAGTTGATGTAATGATTGAGATATTATTTTTTATTCAAGGGAGCACCTACCACTGAAGAACTCTGAGAAAGCTCACTGAAACGTGAAAGGTCTCATAAAGAAAAAGAAAGGGTGAAGTACCTAGTAAGGATTGAACCCACATATTTTCTTTCATGTCTCGCAAAACTGAATTATCTCAAGGTTAACTAAGAAATTTGTCTAGAATGAATATAATTTATAGCTTCATTCTATAAAATACCGTGTCACATCTAATATCAACTTGATAAAAACATCAGTTCATAGAAAAAAAAAATAGTCTCTACAATGAAGAAGACCAAAAGAAAAATTTTCAGTTGCAATTTATGCGAATTTTCAGGGCAACATGGAAAGTTTAATCATAAAATATGCCTAGTTGTAATAAACAGCAGCACATGCATCTTTGATTCATATTCTCATTCTTCCCCTCATTTAAGTGCATTCAAAAGAATTATCGAGTCTGGAGCAGCAGCCAATCATCATCGTTATTATGGTTGATATGTGGCTTCAAACTTGATGTATAAAATAATCAAATCCCTGTTGTATTAGATTTGTCAAAAATAAAAAAAAAAGTTGAACTATTCATTTGGTCCCTACAATTATCTTTATTTCAAGTTTAATTTCCTATACGAAAAAACTGTAATTTAATTCACAGACATGCATGAAAGTTAAGCCTCTGACACTAGCATCAGAGAATTATTTCTGGCACAATAAAAATGCTTCAAAAACCATTTAACAGGAATAAGCCATTACACAAAACTGTGTAGAGACTAAAACATATAGTTTTCCTGTATAGGGACTACAACTTGAAATGGAAACTATAGGACCAAAAATGAATATTTTAACCTAAAAAAATGAAATGATTAATCTCTACAAAGATAGAGAGTTGGGACAACGGTCTAATAAACATAGTATGAAAAGTGATGGTGGGAACATGTTCATACAAATGATAGAGGTTGGTTACTCTGTAGCTACCCGAGTAACGTGATACACCTTGACTATGTCCCCCTGAATTATTCAATTCAAAGTCAACGAGCAAAATAAATTGAATTATATCCAAGATTTGTAGAGCATGAATAACTTAGCATAGCACATATGTTAAACGTTTACACACCTTAGTAGCTGCTATTCTGATACATCGTATAACACAACTAACTACCGATGGTAACAATAACAAGATCTTTATAATTTAATATTCCTTCAACATTTTTCCATCTATATAAGGGCCTTTCACTCTTCTAGTCTCTTATAAACAAGTTATACAAGAATGGAGTGCGTTGTGACAGAGAAAGTGAAGCTTCTTGTGGCATTACTTACCCTGCAGTTCTGCTTTGCAGGATTTCACATTGTGTCTAGACTTGCACTAAATATTGGTGTCAGCCAAGTTGTTTACCCTGTTTATCGAAATTTGATTGCCTTGCTTCTGTTAAGCCCATTTGCTTATTTTTTAGAGAAGTGAGTTTCCAGATGAAGCTTGTTTTCACTTTTAACCTTTCCTATCAAAATCTTTCTGTTATTTCTTTTGAATTCATTCTCCTTAGAGCTATATATATTTTTAGAATTTCATTTATATGCATTGTAAATGAAAAAAGTTTTATATTGTCGATCAATCATAAATCATGTCAAGTATGACTTTTAAGGTAGTAATTTGTACATGTTGATAAACATATCATACTTGACAATTTCTATTTGGTTCACAACTTCACGGTATAAAAACTCTTTCCACAGTCAATGCATATACCTATTTACTCATAATTTTTTAACATGGAACATTATCAATGTCTTTATAATCAGGAATCAAAGGCCACCCCTTACTTTATCTTTACTGGTTCAGTTCTTCCTACTAGCATTACTGGGGTAAGAAAGTAAAGAAGTTGCAGATTACTAAACTTATATTTCCTACTTATGAGTTCTAATATTTTCTTCTTTCCATGATTTTCATTGACAATGTAGGATCACTGCAAACCAAGGGTTTTACTTGTTGGGACTATACTATGCCTCTCCAACTTTTGCTTCTGCATTGCAAAACTCGGTTCCAGCGATCACTTTTGTCTTGGCCATGGCTTTAAGGTAACCGCGTCTACTTGTAACGTTCTTTATTATTTTATGTTGTAATCTTGTTACAACTTGATAAGTTCATTTGATGTACCAGTCTAGAGGAAGCCAACATCACAAGGAGAGATGGATTGGCAAAAGTTCTTGGAACCATTGCTAGTGTGGGGGGTGCCACAATAATTACTCTTTACAAAGGTCCTCCTCCTCTTCACCTGCAGAAGGACCAAATACAAGGAGACACTTCAGATGTAGATCAGTCTCCAACAAAAATGCAAAATTGGACTTGGGGTTGCATATACTTGCTTGGACATTGTCTATCATGGGCTGGCTGGATAGTTTTTCAGGTCTTGTCAATAATCATGACATAGGCAGATTATATAAACAGAAAAATCAGAATTCAGATAAACATTATGTTGCTTCAAGCCTATTTGGATGCAAGCTTAATCGTGTTTTTTAGAACTTATCTACTCAAAAATGTTCTTTATTTTGAGTAGAGAAACTCTTCTAAACTTGTATCAAAAGAGATTCTTCATACTTGAGATAAACATATCCATAAAAATATAGTAATATTATACCTAGGGTATAATTAGCAGGGTGGCGACCAGATATATGACTCTGAAGTTTACTAGTTTAATATAACCAATATGACCTGAATGGTAAATTAAAACTTTGGTGCAGGCTCCTGTGGTGAAGAAGTATCCAGCAAAACTAACCCTCACTTCTTTTACATGCTTCTTTGGATTGATCCAATTCTTGATCATAGCAGCCTTTGCTGAAAATGACTTGGAAAATTGGAAGATACAGTCACTAGAGGAGCTTTTCATCATTCTATATGCTGTAATATTCATCACTTCAATTCTCAAATATCATACTCTAATAAATTTGATTTACATGATAAATCTAGTGTTAATCAAGTGCTGACAATTTTGAAGTTAATCCAATTCACTATTGCATGATGATAATTGCAGGGAGTTGTAGCATCTGGCATTGTCATATCTCTCCAAACATGGTGCATTCAAAAGGGTGGTCCTGTGTTTGTTGCTGTCTTTCAGCCTGTGCAAACTATTCTAGTTGCTGTCTTGGCAGCCCTAATTCTCGGGGATCAGCTATACTCCGGAGGGTACGCGTAAAGTTTGTTGATCACCAGTGGAATATTTGCTCCACCAATTTTACATTTATAAATGAAATGGCTGAATAACAGAATTGTCTGAGTTATTCAATTTTTGTTGCAGGCTTATTGGTGCAATTCTCATTGTGCTTGGTCTATACTTAGTCCTATGGGGCAAAGCCAATGAAAATAAAGTGACTGAGCCATCTCTAACAAAACCCTTGCTTAAGACAGAGGAAGAGAGTAAAGAAACTGATGCAGCTCCAAAGGACATACCATGACATGTCCATCTGTTGACAGAGACAGACTAAGTAGTTTTGGTTTTAAGTATTTGAACAACCAGTTAACCACTTATATGCGGTCCTGGTTTAGCAGCATTTCAGGGTGTGTAAGATAACTAAAATTGTTCTTATTAATATGTTTGGATGTAGTTATTAGAGTAAAAGTGCTCAAGGCTATGTTGGATTGAGGAATAAGCCTGGTGGTGCATTTTATTATCAGAGAAGCTCATTCATTGACATTTGATTACTAGGTCAAATATGCCAGTTATCTGAGCATTTGCATCATGTCAATGATACAAACAAAGACTATGAGCTGTATGTGACACTGACTATACATGAATACTATGGAGTATGGATATTGACAAGCTTTCACTTTTCGGTCTTTAGATATTAATTTTAACCTTGAGAAATTATTTCGATTTTCACTGGTTAGTTATAAATAATCAGAATTCTCCATATTAAATTACAACGACTTCAGGATAAGAAGTTAACAAAAGATACCAATTTTTTCCTTGAAGGTTTAATACCACTACATACCACTGAAGATTGAAAAAATTGGAATGAACCAGACGCTTTGCAATTCAAGAAAGAACCGATGACGATGCAGTTACAAATCTAATAATGGTTGACACTCATGAAACCACATATTCATTCGATATTTTTATCATAATAAAAAAGAATTACTTTTAAAAGTTGATATCCTAGACTGTGATTCACTTGGTGCAATTGAAATAGTTGTAGTTCTTGCCAAATGTCAACAAGATATAAACAGGTTAGAAACTAAAATATTCAATAGAGATTTTATTGTTAGTAATAATTTTGAAAATGATATGCCGCAACAGTCCCATAAAATTTTGCACAACGGGGAAAACAGATTTCCAAGCGTGAGATGTTTCTGTTCATTGCAAAGAGAAGAAGCAATATTGTTAGAATTTGTTAACAACTCAATTTGCTTAACTAACAATGGCACGACAATTTACCATGCTAAAGAAGATACAAAAAGCAACCAGAATGTAGTGTTAGAATAACAAAAGATCATTATATCTTATTCAATGATATCCTTATAATGTCATAGATCACATTATTCACAAAAATTTTGTGATACCTCATGTAACAACTAAGTTTATGATGAAATCATGTCAAGGAGGTCAAGATGTGACACATTGAAAGATCCAAGAAAAATGAGCTAGATATGAAGATTTGGACTAGTTCAGAGCCCAATGGGTCCGGTAGGCTTGGTAAGTTGCTCCTCACATGGGCCACACCCTGAGATTTCTATTGTCTTTTATTTGTATATATAATATTAGTATAAGTTTCATATATTTTGCTCTTGTATTTTAGACTACATAAATTAGAATTTTAAGGTCATAGGCTTATTGGGCCTGTTTTCAGGCTTAATGAGCCTTGAGTATTTTGGTACCCAATATTGAGTTTATTTTTATTTATTTATTATTTCTTAGGGTTTGTGATAGGTTGGCCATTGTAATTAGGCCATTAGAATATGAATATAAAGAAAAAAGTTCAATTAGGCAAAGTTAGCTAAATTAAGGTCACATTTAGGAGTAATTTGAGTTGCATTTGGTGCACATGAGTTAGCCTATATTGTGCAGCACATGGTCTGCCCAAATCAATATCAAACTAACTTTAAATGCAACCTTAATGCACATCGGATCAACTCTTGGATATGCACATGGGGGCTGCCAAGAAATTTGAATTTCAAATACCATTTGAAATTCAAATTTTTGGTGCCAATTGCATTCCTTGAGTTAGGCGCCAATTTGCTTCCTTCCTAGCCTATAAATTGAGCTATCTCTTCACATTATATTCACTTTGAACTCTTATGAGATTTCTGATCATTCACTTCAACCAAATCTCTCTCAAAGTCACCTAAACTTTCCTTGCTTAAGCTTAGGAATCCGAGTGTTCTAAGGCTTCCATGAGCAATCCTTTGAAGTTTCTTGCTTGAGTGCTTCCATCTCTAGCTTAGGAACACACTTTGCTTCCAGTTCTGGAAAACCTTTTCCGGAATTGAATCTCAAGGAAGAAGATCGTGACAATTGGAGAAGGAAAAGGAAGAACATCAATCACTTCACTTGCCTCATCCATCATTTTGGTATCTAAAGCATGGTTGTATTCCTTGAGGTTAGGTGATTCTTTTCACCAATTGTGTTGCTTGTTTTGTGTTCTCTTATTTGTCATATTTGAGTTTCTTTGATTGGATCTAAATTTTGGCAAATTATTTGATAGATCCATGTGTTAGTGATTGCTTGCTTAATTTCCACAATCACTTGTATCTAGGATTCTACCTTGTGCAGTTTTTCTTCTTTGAGTCTTGATTCATTTTCTTTGATCCGGTCATTTTATTTAATTGCATGTGATTTTTGAATTTTTGAATCATTTCAAGTTGTCTAGAGTCATGTTTAGTCCTTATTATGTCAACAATTCAAGATATGCTTAGTTAACCTAGTTTGCAAATTGTTGTTGTGTGATTTGAAATTTGGCTGAGAATTGTGCTTTCAGTTTGGTGCTTTTCCTTTTACATCTTTGAGTTCATATCCATTAGTAGATCATTGATGGATTCTTAGAGTTAGGTTTCCATTGTGTTGTTTAAAATTTTCAATCCTATATTTGCTTCCAAAAATTGTATAAAAATTTCAAGATCCTTCCAATTGTGATTTAAATTGTAATTCAATTTTTGAAATCAATTTTAGTGCATGACCTGAACATCTTTGGATCTGTAAAAACATTCAAAAATAGAGTTAAAAACAAGGGAAAAAGTTTCAAAGTGATTTGAATTGAAAAAGAATCAATTCTAGGTCACAGCACTAGAATTTGAATTTCAAATTGCTTGATTCATTAAAATCCGGAACCTACATGTGCTTGTAGTGGCTGAGAAAAAGGCAAATATACTTCTCCTTTAATTATAAAATAAATTTGAAAAATAAAAAATAAAAAATAAAAAAATATAGAAAAAATTAAATCAAAAGCCGAGAAGACAAAAAGAATTGAAACTAGTTGAAATTAGTCACTACATGCTTGGTTCCTTCAATTTGAATGCTTAATTCTTCTTTGCTCCTTTTTGTTTTTAAGTTTTCTTAATCCATTCTAGAGCCATTCTAAAAAGTTCCTATTTGAGTCATTTTTGAAGAGTCTTAATTTTAGTTTTGTGTCTTGTTGGCCATCTTTGTGTTTTGTCTATATTTGCTTCATTCCTTTTGGTATAAGCTTGCTAATTTGTTTTTGTTTGTCAAGTTTTCAATTCATAAAATTCCAGTGCTAGAATTTGCTTCAAACTCTTGCAAAAAGCACAAACATTGACTCACCAAGATTAGAAAAGGAGGATTGGTAATGCTAAGACAAGTGCACTTGAAAATTTTGACCAAAAACTTGTCCTAGATCTCTAAAATTCCTTCGCAAGAGTGATCCTACCCTAATCATTGTGAGGAGCCACTGTTTGCTTTGAATTGTTTGTTCAATTGTTCAGGTTAAGAGGAGGAAAAGAAATTTCCAACTTAGAGACGAATTTAGAGACCAAAATCTGGTTGCTGGAAAAATCTGTCACAAAATTTGTCTCTAATTCCGTCACTAATTCAGTTACTAAAATCTATTTTAGGCTAGTTTAAAATTTCTTGCAATTTTCTTTGATTCAATTCATTTGTAATTGCTTGGAGGGAGTATTAAGAAGAGGGTCATGTATATCTAAATCCTAATAGCCTACTCATGTTAGTACTTGTGGAAGTGGCTTGAAAATTTCATATGTTCTTCAAATTTCTACATAGGATCCGACTAGTTACTTGATATCCTTTCATTGTTACTTTACTTAGTTTCAATTGAATTCTGTGAAAACCTTGTTTGCTGAACCTTGCTCGACTATTGTAGCTTTAATTTTTAATTTCTTTCATGTTAGTGTGGCATTATAAAAAAAATTGTGAAAATTCATAAGCATAAAATTTTGTGAAAATTTTTTGGAAGCAAGACTAACATAAATGGGTTTAGTAATTTTCACTTGAAAAGACTTGGTTATTAAGTGACTCTTAGTAGCTCACCTCCCTTGATAGTGCAATTTGTATACTTAGACCTCTAAGTGTTTAGTTTTGCTCCACCCAAAAACAAAATTCAATTTCTTTTTGCATTGCATATAAAGACTTCTTGAAATTTAACCATGAGTAAACATTCCTTAAGTGTAATGACTCAAGCTCTCCAAAAAGAATTTCTCATCTTGCTCAAGAGTTTAAGGCATTAAAACTTTGGAAGAAACAAGAGGTGCTTGCTAAAGAAAAAGAAAGGATTGAAAGAGAAACACATTTTGCTATTCTAGAGGAACAAGAAGAAAAACTTTTGGCTAAAATAAAACAAAAAAAGAAAAGTAGTAAAAGTTCTTATAGTTCCACAAGTCTTGAGGAGGTAGGTAGCAAGAACCTAGATGAATATTACCAACCTACCCCTAGAAGAGTTATCAAAGAACCAAACGTAAGGGAATCAAGAATTGATCTCCCTTCCTTTCATGAAAAAGAGGATGTGGATGCCTACTTGGATTGGGAAATGAAAGTAGAACAATTTTTCACTTGTCACCAAGTAGGGGAAGAAAGAAAATTTCCCTTGGCCACCTTAGCTTTCCAAGGACAAGCTATGTATTGGTGGACAACCCTCGTTATGGAAAAAAAGGCTTCATAATGACCCACCCGTACAATATTGGAATGACCTAAGGAGTGCTATGAGAAGAAGACATATTCCTTCTTATTATAGTAGGGGGCTTATAGATAAACTCCAAAGACTCCAACAAAAAAAATATGAGTGTGGAAGAATATAAACAAAAACGAAGCTTTATTTAATGAGGGTTGGAATAAGGGAAGAGGAAAGATTGACCATAGCAAGATTCTTGAGTGGTCTTAATTTTGATATAAGAGATAGAGTTGAATTACTCCCTTACAGGGACCTTGATGACATGGTCCAACTTTGTATATGGGTAGAACAACAACTTCTTAGAAAATCTTCTAAAAATATCAACTCTAAATCTTATTTCAAGGAAGACCTCAAGAGGGAGGGAAGTTCATCCAAGAATTATCCTAAAGAAAATCCCTCTAAAAGCTAAGAAAATGATAAAGATATTGAGAAAAGAAAGATCACCACACACACTAGCTCAAGGACAAGCAAAATCAAATGTTTTAAATGTTTAGGTAGAGGCCACATTGCTTCTCAATGCCCCACCGAAAAGACTATGATAATAAGGGGTAAATACATTTATAGTGAAGAGTTCTCATCGTCTTCATCTTCTAGTGAGAGTGAAGAAGAAGCTAGTGACAATGAAGACAAAATACAAAAACCTTATCCTGTTGATGGTGATCTTCTTATGGTCAAAA